GTGAATAGCTAAGAGCTTGATAAAATGTACATTGACTTTTGTTGTAGGTGGTAGATGAAAAAATGGGTGATGCTAAGTGCTTCTAGAAACCCAGTGATTTTCACGTGTTGATAGCGTGATAATTGACAAACGCGATCGACGATCCCAATATGTTTTACAATGTGGCAGAAAATTGCGGATGTATGATTCATCTTGTCCTAATTCAATAACAAACAAAGAAATAACTATTCGTCTTGGCTTTGTCACCTTTTAATGCCACTGACAGGGTGTTCTCAAAGGACTTTGCCTCCATAAACCGTATGTAAACTGGCCCGATATTCGCTGGGGCCTACTCACTGTAGCTAAGATTTCAGCAATTTAATTCAACTTCTATTACTTATGATGCCTTGCTTAATCATCTTACAATTTTTTTTGCTTCCGAACGAACTACGTGCGTCCCGCTCAGCATTTGTTCGAATCAGCTGTCTTTCCTGCTTTGGCAACGCAACCATCGCGGCAAATGTCGTTTGTGATTAGGCGCGCACGGGTGATGATGATGATGATGATCATTACCTGCGTCAACTTATGGCCTTATTAGTGGCAAGATCAAACGGGCTACAGGGACAGGATTCCTATCTTTTATACGCTGCTTTTGTTGTTGTTATTATGATTTCTATGAATTATGTGCGAGTGGAACAGCCTATCGAAGAACTACTTCAGACTGGCTAAAAGAATCATAGTGAAAAATTAGTCCTAGAAATATAAACGACGTGTGCACATGGATCGATAAAAAGCTCTTATATACTATATCTGTGGTACAAGTGCAGAAAAGAAAAAAGAAACATACGTTTTTGTTCCCCTGTTTCCTTATAGGAGACATCGTGTTCCTATCTGCTTGATTGTTGTTCAGCAAACATTTGCATACACGTTATCGATCGACCGGTGTTGCGTATAAGATATGAGCCATGACCGCAGAGTCGTTACTTAGGATCAGATCCAGAATTTTTGTCTTCAAGGGAAAAATCTGCAGAGATTTAGGGAATTTTCCTGACAATGCTGTTCAGACAAGCTTTAAATCGTCGTGAGAAATTTTATCACTGCCTTAGTTGAAGCTCATCTAATGTGCGAATTTGAATTGTATCTAACTACGTTACATGCGAATGGATTGACTGACTAAAATTGTTAAATGTGTGGGTTGGAAAATATAGCGCTTCCCGATTGTGTATTTGTTTACACGTCGACCCAGAAGTTGTAACTATGAAACGGTTTAGAACTTCAAGCATCTGCTGTTTCGGCCAGGTCACGTGTTCTCATAGTGAATTTGTGCTATTCTATCCGTAATTGAGGGACCCGTGCAGCGAATGAATACACAATGGAAGCCCCCACCCCGCACGGTGTAGTTACTTACTGAACTGGGCTTGCGCAAGAGGTGAATGTTTGTAAGCATCATAGGAAAATATAGCTTCTCACGTTGCCTTCTTTCTTATGTATTTCGTTTCCATTACAGTATATGTTAACAAGTTGTCATATGAAATCGGTAAGCGACTACATATAAATATGGCGAACAATGCTTCATATGAATGGCTTAATAATGTGGGCAGCACTGTGCCGGACAGGCAAAATTAGTAAATATCGTACCGCCGTTTACTATTTTTAATAAGAATTTGAACAACAATTGCATGTCTTTTTGGTTTTTTTTAATCTTCATCAGAAATAGTTCAGCTTTAGCCATTAAGACTTTAAATTTCTCTTATCTATTTAATTTGAGGTTGATTTGTTTGTCTAAGACCAGTCAATGCTTAAGTGGTTAATCGTGGGACGGTAACTGAAAGAATCATTTTAGATTTAGAAATTAGACAGTTTTCAATTCACGTGTTGTACTCAGAGAGTCTTCTACGGGACTTCAAAACAGACGACAGACCCTGAAGCGCGCTGTCTACAAACATCAGAGAAACAATTACAGTTCAGCCTTCTTTGCAAAATCGCTGCAATCTCATAAAGTTAACCTGAAGGACCTATAGCCAACGGAAGGGCAATGATTTGCTTGCCGGTAAAGATGGCTGCAAGATGAAAACGGTTTGTCTCTACTGGCAAACTTGAGTGGACGATTTTCATTTCTGCACTCCTTTCTCCGTCGTTGTCACTGTCAAAGTGGTCCCGTGATAGAAACAGGGTCGAACGTAGAGAACTGGCTTCCGTTCGAAATTCAGTTTATTATGAATGATCAATTTCTTCTCTTATATCGTAGCTTTCTCTAACGACTCTGACACTAATTTAGCTACGATGTGCTATCAGTATCGTGTAGTCCACATATGCCATATCGAAATTAGCTTATTGATTTGGTAGGCAAAACACTGCTAATGAAAAATAGTCGGAAGGACATTTTCTGAGATACCGGCCGTCGTATTCGACTTCTGCAACAAAAGCCGATTACATGTTATGTTTAGTAGGAACGTATCTAATGCTCAATCACAAATAACCAATCTGTAGGGTGCCAGAGGGGAATAGGTTGTTCTCCGATTGACTTTGAAGGTTTCATAAACAACCAATTTGCTCTGAGAAAATAGTGTTGTTTTAATTCTGCATTTGAAATAAGGCCGTATATCTTGCAACCGAAAGGACCTAAGCAGTTTACAAACAAGTGGTCAATTAATATAGATAACAATTATTGGTTTTCTACAATTCTTCTCTACAATTCTACGACTACGAGAATAGCGACAAAAATCAATAATTGAGTAGTTACAGCATTAAAGGGATAGGCGTTTCACATCGTAAGTTTTATTTTTTTTTTAATAATAATTTAAGTACGCCTTCATATAAAAAAGGCACGTTTCTCGTTCACACGCGAACGCGTAATCCAAAAGTCCGTTAGAATACTGGACGACTACGAAATGGGCTCCTAATGGGGCCACCATGTCATGTGACCTCGAATTAAAGTTCAGTTATTATTTTCTTTATTGTTACCTATCATATATTAATTTTTTTTCTAATTGTTTTCGTTTAATTTCATTTTCTAACCAAATTCACTTGTTTACGAACAACACTTCTTTTTACTCCGGACATTAATACTTACATTGGCCATTTTGCAGACAGTGTAGAAACTGGTCTGTATATGTAGTCATGAGATTTAGATGGCCAAATATAGCATTTCATAATGTCTAATACTATCCTTCGTCTCTGGCTTGTGAAATGATAATAACCCCTGTCGCGGTGACTTTTGGTTGATAGATTCATGGCTATAATAATTCTCTTCTGGTTTTAGCATTTACGCTTATTTTGCACCTGTTATCAATAATACTACCTAGACAGAGTAGTAGTACCACCGTAGCTATATTTTGATTAGTTAAATTGATAAGTTGAGGTGATTGTTCGATAATAGAGTGTTAAGGGTCGCGCGTTATGTTTGGCGGGTTTTTTAAAGTTACTATTTGGCGGGAAATAGGAAGTGTGTTCGCGGTTATTGCAGGACTTTGCCACCGCAATGGGAGAATTCGATGTAAAAGGTAAATAATTAATTAACGATAATTAATAATAATCTTTACGAGTCGGTCTTTTGATTTGAGTTGGTCGATTTACGACCAAGCTCACTTTACCACTGGGGTAGGTCGGAAGCAGACCCCGTTGTCAAATAGAGACAAATACCCACAACGGTGGCTATACATATGCACATTTGATATACTAGTAACGGCTGCAAAATCGTCTTAGCTGTTTTGGCTGTAGCTAATTTTAAAGCAAATAGACTTTTTTAGAGCAAATTATCTTGGAAAGGCTTAATACAGTTTGCCGTTTCGGTTTTTTATATTGTTGTCAACGGCATATACAATATACAATAACCGATTGTCCAAGCTGGTATGTGCCATTGTGGATGAAATCATCACCGATGACCGAGCACATAGCACATGACAAGGACAATCTTGTCGGAAGTAGTTCGTTCGATAAATAACCGTCAGTGACAAGCCACTTGACTTACATTGTTGTCTCTGTTTATCAAAAATAATCAAGTTATTGCTTAAACGAATGAATTACAAATAATGCCTTTGTGACTGTTAGCTTCGATAAAGAAGGACGTCCGGTTTTCGATACGAATCGGCGCAGGTAAATACTTGCAATGCGATGAGACCCACAAACAAACAAACAAACAACAACAACAACTGAATTTGGCTGTCTATTCCGGTAGTCCACCACAATCGATTTTCAAAATGAAAAACAACAATGACCTTGATACCTCACCGGCTATGACCAGATAAACGGCCGTTATGGATATTGAATTGTGGAAAAACGATAGTTTCGAAAAATTGATACCCGAAGCTAATTCACCTTGTGGTGCTAAACCTAACCAGAAATAGACTACTAGTTACGATAGGTTTAGTAATAGGGTATTATGCCTACAACACTCTGCCGAAAATGAGTGAATAGCCTGTACACCATTTTCCAAAGTTCGAAATTATTTATATTACTATTATAATTAATCAGCTAGAGATCATCTGTGACAGAGGTAACCTCAGTATTTATCAGTCTTAAATACGATCTGATGATGCTGATACGGATGTAATATTAACACGATGGCGTGCTTGCGTTGTCGAGCTACAGTGCAGGTTGGTTAGGTAAGACTGCCTAATTGGTTCGTGCCATTTGGTAATTCATTGTGCACGCTCCCGCATAAGGCAAACTCGTAGGCACTATAGGTAATATAAAGCACCGGTACTTGTAAACTTAAGTGCTTCAAGGTAATGTCAAGTAAGTTCGTGGATAAACTAATCGAAGTCAATTCATGAAGGCCGATACAGGTCGCAAAAGATAGAACTAGCATTACCGTGTGACCTCTGGGGTTCGTGACACCAACAACACGCGAATGACTATACATATGCAAAAGTCAGCCACAGTGAAACGCATTACTCTTGCTGTACACAATATAGTGGTGCCAAAAAATTGGTAGCAGTTGTGTGTGCTGAAAACTTGCTCATTACAAATAAGTGCTTCGATTGTTTTTTGCGCGTTTGTTTTTGCAAATTTGTTTACAGCATGGAGGCTAGGGAGGCGCTTCGACGGGAGGCCGCCCGTGAGCGCGCTCAAAAGGGACCACAAGGCGTCATCGGGACCGTGGGAACTGCAGGACAGTCCATGCCAATATTTCGCGCCCAACGCGTGCCAAATGCGCATCAAGGTGGCGGGGGCGTTCAGACCGGGACGCCCCAGGGGCTTTTTGGCGCGCCTGTCAAGGTAAGGTTTTTCCCATTGAAAAACATGATTAGCTAAAATGACGTCTGGGTGCAGTTCCCCAGTGAGCCAAAATTTAAGTCAACCTCTGTATACGTACCCTAGAAAGCCGAACGTTTGCACAAGGATTATTTTTGGGGTCATGGTCCCTAAGTAAAGTCCAAAAGATATTTATCAATACGATCGATACCGTGTGTATGATTATGACACCATATGTGCATATATCTATTGCTGACTTGATGTTTTCCAGTTAGAAGAGGAGGATGAAACTTCGCGGCGACTGAAGAACGTACTGGGCGATTACAAGTCAATACAGGGATCGCCCATGGCCGCAGGTCCTCCACCTATCACTGGAGCCTCTCATGCCGTCCATGGGCACACATTATCACAAGGGGCCGTTGCTGTCGGATCCTCTCATCAGACAAGTACAGCTCATTCACATAATCAGTCGCTGCAACAACAACCACATCAACAACATTCACAGTTACTCCAACAACAACAGCAGACAACCTTGGCAACTAGTCAACAAGAACAACAACCTCAACAAACTCGACGACCGCAGCAGGTTAGTTAAAAATTCGCGATCTCTGCGTTTCTAATTGCTGAGCAATATCAAGGATACATATATATGTATATACGTATATGCGGAAGCCTACACGTTATACGTATTTCTGTCTCGTCGTCCAATTGCATTAGTAACGATTTTTATTTTGTTATGTGGTAGGCCAATGTGCCGTCATCAGATTCGCGGTCTTCAGCTCGACAATCGAATGGAGTGGCGTCTCCTGGTCGACAGACGGCGCTGGCATCAAAGGCCGCCGCCACGGGGGCCGCGTCGGCGAACCAGGGAACGGGTCCTTCACTTTCTTCGGCAAACCCTAAGCCGTCTTTTGTGTCTGTGGCAGCACGCAAAAGTCACCAGTCAGAGCAAAGCGGTGGAGCCTTGAGAGGATCGGCGAGCCTTAATTCCTCAGTAACCGATCAGCAGACTCAACATCAAGGCGGCTTGGTACTAAGGAGTCGACCAGGGTCAGGGGGTCTTAGCGTACCAAAGAATGGTGGTAGTAATAACCGCTATTCAACGCCCCCAGACAGTGCCATGCTGAGCACAGTATCTGTAAATAATTTGTCTTCATCAGGAACGACGATACCTGCGCCAACAGGAAGTAAGTGAAATTTACGATGAAGCGTCATTTAGTATCACTTCAGGTAAAACAACAAGAAGAAATTACGTGCACTTTATCTTGATAGAGTCCCATAGAAAGGCCGCTTTCTTGGAATCCGATTTTTTACACTATCTAAAACTCTATGCAAAATACCTTCGACGTTTGTTTGCTATTCTAAACGGGCGATTTTTTTTAATTCTGTTTTCGTCTTAAGAAGAGCTTGCGGTTCGTTTGGAAGAGGTTCTTCGTGAAATGAAGATTCCACCGTTGTTGCGTGAAATTGACGATAGCAACACCGATGACCGTGATCGAAGCCAAGACCCGGGATGGGATCGAGACGCTGAACGAACGGAAAACCAATTGCATCGAACAGATGGCCGAGACGTCAGTCGGCCAGCGGAACCTTCAGCCTCTTTGACCTCATATAACAATGCTGTTCAATCGTCGGCGCTGCCGTCTGGCGGACCACTCAGATTCACCACGTAAGTCATTCTCAGAACAACGTGTTTTTTTAGTTAACGCAAAACCCCTTCCGTGGCGTAATTTTGAATGTATTAGCTTATTTTATATATATATATATATAATATAAACTATGGTAAATTTGATTAATCGCTATTTGAAGGTCAGTTGCGAAAGAACAAAGTGCAAGAATATCCGTTTTGAAATACATATTGCACTGGGTGGCACCTATCGATTTATCGTGGGTTTATTAAGCATTACCGTTTGATAGAGTTGTTTATTTACACGTTCGTGTCCTGTGGCCGCATCGCAGGTTGTCCAGTCCACAGTTGGCGGAAATGGCAGCTGCGGGTGAAATTGCGCCCCTCTTAGGCCTGGGAGGCGGAAGGTGCGGTCCACTCGCAGGTGTCGAAGCACCCCCTGACGCCCACAGTCCGGTACGAAGTCCTGAGCCGGCGAACGGGCACGCCCAAAATTCTCTTCTTTCTGGATCTACTGGTTCGCTATCGATGTCGCAACAACAGCCGCAAAATCTTGTTGCATCATCTGTACATAGCTCAACGGCAACAAGGTAATTGATCTTATAAGAAGTGCATGGCTAATCACAATTAACATTTGGAAAATGGCTTCTCTGAATCGTGTCCAGGTCTCGATTAGATGTGCAGTGGTATCTAAATGAAGCGTTCTAAATTTCTATATCTTGCCTGTAAATTGGAAAACATATAACTCGCAGTGTAATTATGCAAGTTTCCCGTTCATACGCCATTACATTGTAGTGTCGATAGTAGCCAGCGGGCCTACGTAAGTTTCCGTTACTAAATGTCCGATTTATTCGTGATACAACAGAACTAATGCTGCACCGGCGATATCCGAAGTAGACGGAGGGACACACTCTGGGGCTGTTACAGGAGTCGCCAATCTTTCCTCGCCCGGTTCATCCTCCGATTCGGATGATGATGATGATGATCGCGAGAGCATCTCGCAGGAGGAGAGCCAAGATTCAGACGTCGAGCAGAACAAATCAATGCGAATGACGAGTTTTGGTAAGTTTCTTTCACTACGTAAGATTGTCAGACAAGTATTGATCGTTTTTTGCCTGCTTTAAAATCACATATCTTAAACAATGGGTCCCGATGGGTCGGCGCGGGTGTCACTGGAAGTCTGATTTGGCATGACTTAAACAATCTGATGAATGCCTTCATTCTGACCTAGAGCAGCGCCTACCTGAGTAACATTTTGCCAAAAGTTCACCATATGTTACAATAAGGATATATATACTGTCCAGGCCCACAAAATATTTGTTGTTTGTGGTTTATGATCAAACTGCATTATTAAACTATTCGGCTCAAAGATCGTTCTGTCTTATTCATTTAACGTAGAAAATACTCTTTATACGAAAAAAGGACCTTATACGGAACGATTACGGAAAAAAGCTGTTACCAATTACGGCGGAAGATGAGCAACACCGACACGTCAATAGCCGTGTTATTGCCACCGAGCTAAATATCCACCGCCAAAATATGTATGGAATATTCGCTACAAAAAAGCCTGACGTTTTGAATGCCACATGATTTGGTGCAGATGAATTAACTGAGACGCAACGAAATCAGGCCAGATAAAAAATGGATCACACACGACAGTAAAGTGCAAATCGAAAAAAAATATGCCCCACACTGGCAAAACCCAAACTGACGCCAAAGAAGATTTGCTGGGACTGGAAAAGAATCGTGCATTATGATCCGCTCACGCCTGACAAAATTATTGGTTCGCATCTTTGCTGTCAACAAATGCCAAGATCACGACGAGCCATTGAAACAAATCAACAACTAGCGATCACAGAGTGTCGACTTTTGTCATGACAATGACAGACGACGTATAATTTGGGCTATGCGGCAAAAACTCAGAGAACTTAGGTGTGAAACTCTAATTTATCCGCCGTAGTGTCCGGATCAGCTTGCGTCGTTCTCTGCAGAAGTCCCTCAATGTTACTCACTGAGTTCCATTTGGAAGATGCAGGGATCATTTGTCATAGTTCTCCGTCCAGAAACCAGAGAAATTCTGTAGTGATGGTGTTACCAAAAAAATCGCAGAATATCATTAGTCGCGATGGCGTATATTTAGTTTATAAATTAGTTTAATTAAAGCACATTTGATTCTAAAGTGTAAAAAAATATTTGCTTCAATTTTGAATTGAACACGGTCTTCTCTTACCGGCAGAGGCGAAGATAATCTAGGGTATTATAAGCTAACTAGTTAATGCTAAGCTTTCAAGGGCTAATTTTAACCCCGAAGTTGTTTTGCCGTAGAAATTTATTAGAGAGAGATCAGCTAAGGAAGTTTGGCTAGGGCTCTCGAATTGAACCCGTAGGCTTGATGAGGCCATGATATAGCTTACTGAAATTGTTCCTTTAAACGTGTAACTTACCCGGTCATGTCTGAGACTTCGTGTCGGGGGCTAATGACCATGAACAATGATACCCTAACGCGCATAAATAAGAGATGTATTATATTTTTTCAACGTTTTTGTTTAAATGCTTTTCGATGATTATTCTTGGTGCTCGTATTTCAGACACACAATTTGCCACAACAGACAAATTTCCAGAGAAGATTGTGCCGTTTGGGGATCCAGCGGTTGGGGCACCCCCTCAATGTGGCATATTTCCTCAACAACAACAACAACAACAACAACAACAACACGCGACTGCGCAGCTACCTAGCGCGCAGTCCGGTGCAATGGCTAGTGGTGGCGCTGCTGGTATGCAGTTGTCTACGGAGTCTCTGCCAGTTTCACATGCGCCGTCTAACCCTGCCGGCGGTGACACGTTGGCAGTCCAGACGATTGAGTCACCGAACTCTAATGTTTCAGATGATGCCCCGCCAGATCCAGAAGGTGGTGGAACTGAAGTAAAGGACGGGATTCAAAATCCATCTTGGAGCATCGCATCGTTCATGTCCGCGGCGCCAAACTCGGCTTCATCGGTGTCCAGTGTGAAATCATCTGCAAAGAGCTCACCGCATCGGAGTCCCACCCCTCTTGAGGGGACACCACGGAAAAGTGGAAAACTTCAAACGCAAAACAGGACAATACCAGCTCCAGAGCGCGAACACCGCAAGCGCAAGCGCCAACCCAGTGGGTCGGATGCCCGCAGCAAAGAATCTTCCCTCGAGCCGCCCTCATCGGCCGAAAAACGGAGAAGCGCTCCTGGTTCTGATCAGAAACAATCCGGAATTGCATCATCACAGCAACACACTGCATTGACCTCTACAGCCCCAGTGCGCGGCGTCGTTCAGCAACTCGGCAGCCATTCAGCTCGTAGTTCGGTAACGCCCGAACCCGACCATAGTAGTAACAGCAGTCCACTAGTAAAAAATAACGGTGGAACGAGCAGTATGAGTAATAGGCGCGACAATCAAATAGCGCGTCGGGTAGTGTCCCCTTTAATACACCACAATACAGATAGCAATAGCAGTACAACCGACGTCGCAGACCGTCGGCGGGAACGACTGGTTGAAGCTGCCGCAGCAACTACAGCGGACACGGCGCGTGGGAGCGGCGGCCGGCGTAAGAGGGACGCGATTTCACGGGACGGCGTAGATGAAGAGGACATTGGGCTTGTGGTCAAGATTCCGTTTTGCCGACTCAAGCGGCGTCCTGGAAGCCAAACACAGGCCCAACAACAGGTACAGCCAAACGCTAAATGTGATAGCAGCTGCAGCAACATTAGCAGCAGCGGCAGTGGAGGACGAGTTGGCAGTGCGAACAGTGACACGATTGGGACACCGGTGACAGCGACTGTTGCTATTCCAGTGGGAAGCGGACCAAAGGACGATCGAGAGGCTGATTCGCGTCTTGACACTAGCGGGAAAGCCGCTACGACTGTTGCTGCAGGTGGTCAGAGCAGTCAAACAAATACAAGCCGCAGCAGAGATAACCATAATGACAGCAGCAACAATGGTGGTAGGGGTGGCTCAGCAAAGTATTCTGGCAGTTTAACGACGGGAACTCAAGCGACTCCGCAGCAACAGTCGCGGGGCAAGGAGCGGGACGACCGCTCAAGGGCAGACTCACCTATGAGCATCGATAGCACATCCAGTTGTTGTAGTAGCAACGTAAATGCAAATAACAATATTAATACAAATAATAGTAATAATAACTGTAGTAGTAATAATATGGCCAGCAGTAGTAGCAGCAGTAATAGTAAAAACCGTCGACGACCTCATGGCTCTGATGTTGATGAACGCGGATCGCGGCGAAAAGACGAGGAGAAAAAGAAGAAGGACAAGAAGGATAAAGATAAGGACAAAGCTAAGGAAAAAACGGAAAAAGCAACCAATAAATCTGCTGCAGCTGATAGTAATGGAAGCAGTAGTCGAACAGAGAAAGCTGAAAAAGCTGTTGAGAAGTCCGATTCTAATAATGGAAGTAGTCATACAGCGAAGGAGAAAGGTGAACGTGACCGTGATCGGTCAGAAAAGCGCGACGTAGCCCGCGAGGAGAAACGAAAAGATCGAGAACGTTCAAAGGCTGAAATGAAAGAGGAAGTTCGTAAAGACACCGCTGCTAAGGACGAGAAGGGCAGCAGTAAGATCAAATCTGACGACACTCCAGCCGTTGTGAAAAAAGAAAAGGACAACACTAGCAGCGGTCCTACAAAAGAAGGTACAACGAGCAGTAGTAAAACGGGATCGGACCCGTCTCCTGTGAAGACTAAAGAAGAGAAGAAGGACTCGACTTCTGCTACAGAAGCTACTGTTAAAGGAAAAGACGATATCAAACGGAAAGGTAATGATGAAAGCTCGCGAAAATTGGATGCTGGTGGGTCATCGGCGTCATCCACATCAGTAGCAGCAGCAGCTTCATCGAAGGAGCAGCCTAAAGATAGATGGATGAAGAATAAGATGCTTTCGGATGCTGCTGAAAGAATGGAAAATGAATCAAAGATTACTGCCCCCGACTGGTTTATTGCCGAGGCTAAAAAACTGAAGCACGCTGGAGACAAGGAACGTACCCCGAGCGGGCAGGTAAAAAAATACCTCGAGTCAGCACTTTGCTTTATGCTAAGCGGTAAGTACCTATAAGTAGTGAAACATTTAACGTTCCTTAGAGTTTCAAGTTACTTGATTCTCACGTGCGTGGGCAATTATCGATAAAGTTTATCGTAGATCAGTAATGTGCCAATTCCGATCGTATCAAGAATTCTACCTTTGAACGAACAACATATTTCGTTTTGTAAAACCGCTGTTTTCCGGTATTTACTTAGTTACCTGATACTTGTTTCTATTCTGGGTTACGCTGGTACGAAAGGTCTAGTGTTCATTTGTCCGGCACAATGACACAAGCGCAGGTTAGTAATACAGTTCTTGTTGCTGATATCATGATGGCAGGCAACTTAATTGAGGTGATGCCCAACCGATCCGATGGTTCGCGGCAAGCGCAAAAGATGTATTTAGACACGCACGCTTTAGTTCGGCATGTGAGCACTCGCCTTTATAAAGCCGCCTTACCCTCCGGCGGGACGGGATCACAAGAGAGTCGGTTGATCGTGTTGTCATTACGTGTGCAAGCCGTACTTAGCCATCGCATCTTTGTCATTATGGGCCGCGACAGGGACTTCAGGTAAGAGAAGTAATGCTATTTTAATTTTCTTCTTATTGCAGAAATTATCTCACAGTTAAATATTGTGATGTTTACGAATCACAATCTAGGGAGAAAAGAAACCTAACCTCACATTATGATCCTATTGTTTATAGACGATTTCGACCATTTGTACATGCATAAGAATCGCAGTAACCCGTAACTCTAACTTGTTTTATAAGCTGGTTTACAAATTAAATAGCTAAAAAGCAGAATAACAGGTTGTTGTTTTTTTTTGCTTTGTAAAATATTTGCTAAAAATTCGAAATCCATCAATTCTGCTATGCGCCTACGGCGTTCTGTAGGGATCGGTCGGCCGCAGTACTTCGTGAGTTTCAGTCTCTGAATCTGGCCAAGTTAGCCAGCAATAGCGAGAGTTCAGGCTTGTCCAACGGAGCGACGGCATCCCCTGCAGGTTCGCATTCGAGTGCCTCTTCAGGAGTGTTGCTAGCAGGAGGCAATACGAGAGATAATGGTGCCCCGGGGTCATCGCAAAGTGCACACGGAGGGGGCTCACAGCAGACAGGAAGAACGTATACGTTACCTGCCCCCCTCGTTGAAAGCGTAAGTGGAAAATGTATCGACCGCGTTAGCGTCATTCATTCAAAAAAAGAATCCGTGCATAGCGCATGTAGATCGAATAGGTGGTAATACCGTTTATTTTGCAGCAGAAATACTGGCTCGGGTTAGGGAAGAGTCCGTAGAAACGGTCACGATTACTGCAAAACGTTCTAACATTCACGGACTACGAGCTGAAGAGAAATCGTCAAAATAATCTCATGATACGCCAAGTAGGCATCTGTGTCATAAATACTTTTTCTTCAATTCTGTACTTCTACTTTTCAGGTGCAGAAAACGGTCAACAGGCTGATTCATCTAGAACGCGCGTACGACCTCTGGCATCAATCGTGCAATTATATGATCGAAACAAACAATAAAGGTAGTCGATCTAATGTCGTTCGTAATTTAGTTCGATAATAGTTTAAGGTATATCAGTTTGTGGCGCCTTTTCATTTTGACTATTTTGGGGAAAATTAAGTGCGTCTTTTTGTTATTATAATTTGGACTTGCAGAGTTCTTCGATGCAGCAGCTAGCGCGTCATGTTCCAATGGGCACATAGACATGTTTGCGCCGGCAAGTGAATTTGTAAAGTTCGCCCGGGAAACAATATTTCGGATAGAGGAGCTTGCCAATGTCAGCTAGCAGATCATGCAGTAAATATAGTAGCGGTAGCGGTAACTCAGAGGTGCCCGTCGTTGTGACGTTGATGAACGAACGACGATTTTTCTCCAGTTGGTTAACGCGGTCAACTATGCGCCATCGGCTGCGACTGGTATGAACAGTAGAGAAAGAACTAACGAGTAAATACTGTCTTTGCTCGACCGAACCAAGACCATGTCACCAGATGCAGCAGATGGCAGCCAGGAGATTACGAAACTGAAGTCTCATCGAAAATTTAGTAATATTTTGCATCCCAGATAGAAGAGTTAGATGATATATATATATATATAAACTTATATGTGTATGAGATAAGTTTGGGCCAAAAGATGGTAGAAGGGAGGCGAGTTACACCGTCTTCCCTGCCGAAACGGTCTGGCGGTTCATTAGTCTTTGATGACACTCTACACCTGAAACTTCTTCTGGGCTGACAAAAAAAAAAAAGAGAATGTTGTTGCTGCTGCTGCTAAATGCTTTCGATCTATTGCTTCCATCTTTGACGACAACGATGCATTCACCCATCGAATTCAGAGACTACCCTAAGTGATCGCGTATTGATCGAGCTTCCCTATGCCTCGTTAATTCAAGCGGGCATAATTATAATTATTACTCTCATTAATATTAGCGAAAATAATAAGGATACGCCAAGCTTTCCAGTTTGCTCAGAAGTGTGCGGCGAAACACTATAAAAGAATACCACCCGCAACCGCGAAAACCTCATCATACTATAATAACAAATAAGGATTTGTGAAAAACAATAACACGTGTATTTAAAGTAAAAAATATGTTTAGATTTGGGAACAGGTTCCTAAGTCGGGACCGCTGTATAATACTTTGAATAATAGACACAGTCCGGCATACTTGGAAGTATCACTATCGAATGTATGGTAATCTGTACTAATAATTAATTAATCAAAAGAGAATCGATATTTTTACTTTGGGCGGCACAGATTGAGGCTGGTTTTGTGTGTGCGTATAAGAGAGCAATTAGTAAGGCCTTAAGGTGGGTAGTACTTTTTTGTATTTGTGAATACTGAGCTCGAGTGAACATTGGCATGGGTAACTGATGAAGTTTGGCTATCCTGTTGTAACGTAAATTGCGTTGTGTATTAGCTCGAGGCCAGCGCCGCTCAATCGTAGGTATGGCGTTTTTCTTTTTTGTGCATTAGCCAAAAAGGTTAACTAATGGTTTATTTTCATAATTATATCAAGATTCGATCATAGCCGGTTGTGGGCCAATCAGCTAAACTGAGCTAGTCACCATGAAGATGGTTACAGCAAGTCTGGCATTCGTTTTTTGGCATCGCATGAAACAAAAATGGCAGCCTTGTTAGGTTCAATAATGAGCTGTGTGCTCCTGGGTCACAACTAGGTTACCGTTATTTTGCTACCCTTGCTCGACAATATTGGCCTCGGCCAAACGTCAAATGCTTATTTGACCTTTGGCCTAGCGCTTCCAGTTTAGATCACACAAAACACTGAAACGTAGCGTAAGATGAATTTTCACCCACCTACATTAGATGTTGCCTAAGCTACTCACATGGATTCGATGGAAATCAACTTTATTTCTGAATATTGTAACGGCCTCACAAGAGTATTATGAAGTATGATAAATATATAATAGATTGATTGCGAGTATTTCTGTTTCTTACTTAAATTACGTATTGGCCTTAAGGCGATGAAACTACAGAATCCTGTCGAAGAATGTGAAGTGCTGACACCATCTCGGAACGTGTAGTAACTTTGTGGGTGTAACTTTTGACTATGGTAGAAATCATTCATCAGATCTGGGAAGAAACGGCTAAATGCAGTAACGATTACAACAGATGATATCAACTTCATTTACATATATAATCATAAAAACTACACACATCAGCAAATGGACGCGTATATTAGTTCACATAGAGGCATACCTCTAGGATGACTTAAAAAAAAACTTCTCTGTATGAACGCTCAACGTCTATCAGCGTTGAACTTTTGAAGATGTACAGACTATATATACATATATATATATATATATATATATATATATAAAGATGAATTAATAATGGGTTACATACGTAGCACAAGTGTTTGAGGGATGATATACTGATTAAATAAATTCAAATTTTTCTCTTCCCTAATGACATCATTGTGCGAAATGTGCTGACCTCTCTAAAAGTCTTATTTTTTATGTATCCATATTATAAATATGATGCCGATGATGATCATTACTAGTATAGTTAGTTATTATTCCCTAGTAGTAGAAGTCACTATTTTGCGGCGGTGCATTTTGAGTATCTCGAATGTAAATAAAATGTACAGAAATATTTTCACCCAAACCTTACACAAATAGATATAAAGATAGGAAAAGAAAAGATGAAAAGTGATGCTATAATAATTAAGAGACATGATACTGAAGGAAAAACCAGAGACGACGAAATTCAGACAAGGACGATTAGAAGAGAAGAGAGCTAAGCGGCGAAGGACTATAAGATGACAAATAAACGAGAAAGTACATTTTTTTTTTGTTATTTAAGTCGATATACGAAACATTTGTCTTTTTTGAACGAAACATCCTTCTATTATTTAGATACATTGCTGGGTATTTAAATAAAAATTGTTAGGTATAAATGAAACTTGGGCTTATTGCACATTTTCCATTGAAGAAAATAGCCCTTTGCTAGTTCAACGGGCATTCTCTGTTGAGCGTAACAAAACGTATGCACTTAGACAGCTGTTACTTTATAGGAGATGCGTCTAGGCGAGACGAGAACCAGTGGACGTTTCTTGTTGAGCACGAGCGCTACTAAGCGAATGAGGCGTACGGCGTATTGAAGCCCGACATTTCTCATCAACAACAACGATGCGAGGTAGATAGGACATCAACATATACCGAGAAATTGCGCAGTGGCAAAGTGTTGCTAAGCATATAACGCGAGCGATACGAAGCATCCGGAAGCGTGGGCAACACAATCCGATTCGATATTAAAAGTACATTGACATGACGAGCGCTTATCATACGACAGTTCGATATTTATCGTTTGCACAACCAGCATTCATTATGTGCCCCCCTTATGAGTGGTGTCAGCAGACTCTACCTATTCTACCGGGTAATCAATGAACTGTACATCGGAATAATAAATCACAGTCCTTCTATACTTTGATATAGTACTGACCGGCGGTGCAGGTTGGGCGACCAACTTAACGCATTGTTGGCGCTGCACGACATCATAAGCTAATCTACTAAATTTATAAGCTTTGTCACAATTTAGTTCACCCGCGACACGTGTCCTAGTCGTGTCTTCGCTGCGAAAGTAGGACATATGCAGGGAAGTGTCAGGCGGTGGTAGTTCTCTCCACAGTTCTCTAGTGTAGACCTGAAAGCTCGTAGACCGCTCAGGCACACCGTCGATCAACTGTGTTAAACTGGCCTATATTTGCTTGCGAGCCTATGATTACGAGTGGTTTTTCCTTAATGTGTTTGAGTTTGCTGTGATATGCCTTACCTCCTACTCCTTAATCTTGGCAAGTATTATTCAGCGATCAGTTTTCATGCGCTGTCGCCTTAGTGGTCGTCCATTTTAGCTTCCGCTGACCTTTGCGCTCTCCGCCGCTAGAGCGTTATTGCCCCAATCATCCATATAATCGGTGTGCGTGCAGTATGCACATACGATGAATGCCTGCGTTGGACTAATTGGGAAACGGCGCGCGTCTCTTGAAAAAGAATCTTTAGTGTGGCATGTTCATTTGCTAGCTGTGATTGTACCTATTTTGACAGGTCGACGTTATTCGCTTATCATAGTTCTTCATGAGAGAAAGTTTACGGCCCTTTTCAGACAAGAAAAAAACATTGTCTCCATAGGCCTGTCGACATTTAGAGTTGTTTAATATTATTTATAATCGGCTGTTCCTAATAGCGGTGATGATGAACTATAGCCTGCGTTGGTCCTGTGTAGGCGCCGTATTAGACGCGATATAAATTTCGAAATACGACCGATATTGTGAGATACTGATCTTCGAATCAAATCTACGGGATAGTGTTCGGAGCGGGAATCGAGTCATTCGGCTAACAGCTGTGCGTGCACAAGTCTGGATCCCTTTGTGTCGCACGTCTGATAGCATTCGAAATTTGTGTTTAGTGTCGTCCCCTTGCGCCGTAACTTACTACTTTGTATTTTTATTGCTGTTATTGGGTTATCTGTTTGCTTAGTAGATAGTCATTGCCGGCTTAAGTTGAGTGTGGAATAGGTGTAGTTATGGGTGTAACTTGACGATTTCGATATTTGATCTTTTTTCCCCGGCCATTACGTTAGTACATCACAGCTTGCAATAGTTAGATAGCAATCTACTTGATTATGTCCTAGTCTTTTGTTTAACATTTTGTATTCATTTTTAAGGCTCCAAATCGTACTTTTTTTTCCTTTTCTACCTTTCTCTCGTAGCCGTTTTTGATTCGTTCCCTCGATCCACTATATTTAGATAATCTCGTATCAGTTGTAATGTTCCCATATATATATATATATATATATATATATATATATATATATATATATATATACGAGGTGACAATCTTTATCCGAATATTCCCGGGGCGTATTCGACGTAATATCGATACAATTTTGCCTCACCGCTAATAATTTGTTTTCAAGCACGATATTACTTGCAGTCCTGATGGTTCCGTTGTTGCGAGGTTATTTCTATATACATGAATATATATTGGAACACCACGACAAAATACTACCCGCAGAGAACTTCTTTCAAGTTAAATTTTAAATCAAGCAAAAACCAAAGAGTCCATTCATTGTACGCCCATTCTATGTCCATATATGTACTAGTTCCAAATCCATTTACTAAGTACTATGTTATAATGAAGTTCACTTAAATTTAAGAAGTCTCAACTTATTCATTTTGTCACATGTTAATAGATTTAATTGCTTCGACAACGTATCGTACGGTTCTAAGGGACGTATGGAGTATCAAAGTATCAAGGTATAGGATTCTAGGTAAAGCCACACTCAACAATGCGGAAACTGATGACAACCAGAATGCATGGAGTAGATCCTGGCACAAACCTGATTTTTTTTGTTACCTTGCGCAATTAAGTTAGTGCAGGGAAATAAGCTAAAGTATAGCGATCCGACATTTTTCGTTCCTGTTTGCTGTGATCATGTTTTTATATTTCTTTGACGGCTGCGGCTCTGGCCACATGTTCCAGCCACGCGATCGACACGTATACACTGGCACAATAATAGAGATATTTTTATGAATATGATCTTAAAGATGTAAAATCTTTCAATAACATTGTTTACAAAACCAAGTGATCCCACCAATTGCTTCGGACATAACGAATCATAGGTAAACTTCAACTTTATTAAAATTACTTAAACATAGAAGAAAAAAATGCTACATACTGTTAAAGTCGCTATATAACATTGTAGACACGTCCGTATGACTCAATTAGACGATTATTGCTGTGATATATTAGAGTAAACAATATTTTGTTTGTGGAAAATGTTTGTTAACTACCTTTGTTTCATATAATAAATTTTCAGATAATAAATAGAGAGAATAGTACGGTTCAATGAAGATCGTGTGTCTTTCACAACTTACATTGTTTACCCTACATAAACATTTTAAGGCTTGAATATGGAGAATCCCTTACTTTAGCCCCATCTAACATCGTGTGACGTATGTGCAAATTTAGTTATAGCTAATAAAACTGTTAACCTAACTATAAGAAAATAGCCTCCCTATTACATGATGGTACTGAAAAGACAGAATGAGCTTACATTATATATA